GAGTTCATGTAATATTAATTTAAGTTTTTGCATATTGACTTGCTTTAGCTATGCCTTCTTATCTGTCTCTCTCTCTCTCTCTCTCTCTCTCTCTCTCTCTCTCTCTCTCTCTCTCTCTCTCTCTCTCTATTTGCTTTTCTGGCTTGCTTCATATGTCTCTTACACAGTAATGAGCGAATGCTTGTTCTTTACATCCCAATGATAGCCTCTCTTTGTGATTCTCAAAAAGTGAAAATGTGTTTATAAAAGGTACATATATGGGTATCAAAGGTTTGTCTGTCTAATTAAGCATTCTTGACTAGATCCGTTCAAAAATTGCCTAAATTGATAAACTATTTTTAAATTAGTTAAAATTTCTTCATTCAAAAGTGAATATACTCATATGTATACTCGTCCGCATCGAAACATATCATATGTTCTTGATATCAATAATTAAAATTCGTCTCTGCCTTTATAGAGCTTAATTGATATCAATATTCTAGCTTTGCCAGAATGGTAATTGGAATATACTTGGGTGTATATAACATATGACAACCCACATTTGGAGACTTCAATTAAATTGCAATTTGTTGCTCATTCAGCCACACAACACAAGCTTTGGCAAACTAAGAACTAAGCATTTTCCTGCTGCCTGCTGCCATTTGATACGCCAAACGAGAAGCAGAGTCAGTGACAGACAGACTGATCCAAGGGCATGCCCTTAGTATTATCAATATCCAATATTTAGACAGGCGACAAGTAATAAACACGTTTGTTGAACGTAAACGAAGCACACACTCTGCAAATACATATTATCGAGTGGCTATCCGACTGCCAAGAGTCCTGCTCCGGAGTTCTGCAAGCGGCGCGTGGGCGTAATTAACACTTTGTGCCGTGCAGAAGCAAATCGAGCGGGTTAAACTGCACAAATGTTGCTTCAGAGCACAACTCGGGGCAAAACCATCGAATGCAATAATTAATATGCCCAACGTGCTGCAGCTCCTGCTGCTGCTTGATAGTCCTGCGCCGGGGCGGGACGGGACGAGACGGGCCGGGACGGACACTCGCTGTTGGCGGGGGGTGCCATAAAAGGCGTTAAATTGACACAATTGAACACACCCTTGAGATTTGTGCTGTGTCGAGGGTTTGTTTATTGTTGTTGTTGTTGTTGTTGTTGTTGCCGCCGTTCTCATGCCTCGATTGGGGGCGAGTGCGTTTAATCGGAAATGCTAACATCTTCATCATGGCGCATAATGGCACCAACGTTGAAAAACTGCCAAGTGCCCGAGCCCAAAATCGTGTCCCACTCATCGAATTGCCAAAATTTTGACACCAAATTTCGCATCGAGATCCAAGCCCTGCTCTGCTGCACGCTTCCGCTTTGTTTGGCCCATGCAAATACGTATGTGTAACAATTGATATTTTGGGTAAACATGTGAGCCATCCACAACGTGACATGGTTAATGTCGCGGCTTACAGTTCACACTCACACACAAACACATGCACTCACACATGCACAGACTTGGTTTGAACTTGGTCTGTCGGCGTGCATAGATCCTAATTGATTTAAGTACTCTTATGGTAATATATATATATTCCTTTTGTTAAGAATATGCACATATTTCCAATATGTCGAAGATGCTAGCATTATCCGGCTTTGCCCGGCCTGGGTATATTTCTTAAGAATATAAACAAACGATTTGGCAACCGTATATCATATATTTAACATACAAGATATTGGAATAATCAGCCGTAAATTATGTTTTGCTTTAGCAAGTCGAAAAAGGTTTTAATTGTTGGGAATTAACATCTTTTAACCCAATCAAAGCCTCTAACTGATCCAATGATATCCTATTGCCGTTAAGCTGTTGGCCAGTGTTCTGTTTTTTTTTTTTTGGCTCCTCTGAGCTCTGAGCTACTTACTCGGACTCGGGGTTATCTGGCTACCATATCTGTTTCAATTTCAGCCTCTAAGCATGGCTGTCAAAACAGGCAAACAAATTGTGCAAATAAGTCGAGAAAATGTTATTTATGCTCAGACAATTTCAGTGATTAAATAACTAAGCCAATCGAGACCCCTAGATATCGAATTACAAATAGTAAAATGACATGAAAGTGCGACTCGGCAGCCCGGCCGGCCAATCCGGAGCTGGACTTGTCGTGTCAGCCAGCTTCGGTGCATATTAATGGCCCGGAGGTGTGCATGCCAATTGTCATGCGCTGAAATGCTTGTTAACAACAGCGATTGCTTTCTGGATCGGCTCCCACTCGTCGAAATGGTCTTTTCCTCTTTATAAATATACCCTCAACCCATTGAAAATGCTTGAACGGGGTATAATTGTTTTGTGCAAATATATGGAATAGGTGGAGACTGGCATGGACAATCCTAGATAGTATATATATTCCTGATTAGGAAAATAAGCTGGGTGGATTGAGCTATGCTAGTCTGTAACTCAAGATCAAGAGTCTTTGGTCCTTAAGCATAACTTTAAATATTACATATTTACGAAGATTACAAAGATTATTTTGATCGGACTGCAAAGACCGAAGTTAAACAAGACTGTCTTTTCGTTCCCATATTTGTCTTAATACGTTTGTATAAAAGAAAGCTAAAATGATTGCAATGGCAGGGTATTTTCTAGTCGAGCACTAACAACATTATGGCTTACTTACTTGTTTTAATCAAAGCCAGAGTCGAAGCTGCTGCTGTAGCGACTCCTGCTTTTGAGTGCTCCGGCTTCGTCCACGTCTCCGTCTCCGGCTATTGCAGCTCCTCCCCCGTGGCAATAACGCCACACATTTGTAATGTTGCTTCTGTTTGAGCCGGCAGTTCAAGTCGAAGTTGGCTCGAACTGCGCTTAGAAGCATTTTACAAGTTACTTTAAGGCAATCAATTTGTGGCCCAAGCAGCTGGACCATAGCTGCAGTAGGCGGCAGGTGTTAGGTGTGGTGAAGGGGTTGGAGGGGGAGGGCAGGTCGAAAAAACCAATCAAAAGAGCGTTGCGAACGCAAATTGAACGCCAAATGGCTGGAAGATGATATTTCAATACTTGAAGCGGTCCAGGCTGAGGCCATAAATTATGACCGGGGCGACGCCTGCGCGTAGTTGCTTACTTTTTTGCAGTTATGATTATCGCGCCAGGTTCAGACTGAGCACCTGAGAGACAGAGAGATAGAGAGAGACAGAGAGAGAGAGAGAGAGAGATAGGGAGAGAGAGAGGGAGAGGGCGAGCTGTTGTGTTGTGTGCAAACAAATGTAAAAAATTTTTAATTGACTTTTGGATTTGCGCCACCGCCAGTTGCACTTTTTATGGCCCCTCGCGTGCATGCAGCTTAAAAGTTAATAAAACACGCCCAATGATAACAAGCCGCAAACCACAACAGAACAGCGCATATATTGCCCCTGAGGTCTTCATCATGCCCCAGCCCAGCCTCAGCGTAATCATCATCCCCATCCTCATCATCATCAAGAACTTGCTGCTGCTGCTGCTGCTGGAAACATTGTGAGTCCGCGCCAGCTCGTAGAAAAACAATCAATTAAGCGTGCAAGTAGCTGACACAGGAGGAGCGCCAGTTGCCAATGGCAATGCCAATGCCAACTGGCACGACTTCAGCTCCAGCTCCAGCTTCAAGTCCGACTCCGAGTCCGACTTTGACTCTGACTCTGATTCGCATTCGCATTGGCCCCGTGGCCAACGTGGCCGGCTTCGACTGGCGTTTTATGGCCTGTTTTGGCAAAATTTATGTTACATTTTTATAGTTCAGTGTAAATTGACTTTTAAAATGTAAAATTTATCATAGCAAACGGCGGCCCGTTGCCGGGCTTAGGCAACACTTTAATTGCTTTATTTTCGTATATGCCGCCCAGATCTGGCAACGCTGCGCTCCGAATGCAGAATCAGAAGCTTCCGTTAAAAGCTCGCACTTCGCGATAAACATCTGCGCGTTCTCAAGCACAGCCAAAACAAAAACAACCCTCAAAAATTGAAAAACTCTTAAGTCGAAACATGAATACCCTTTAGTAAGGCTTAGATATCAATAATTTAGTTTTTGATTAAATATAATTCAAATATGCTTGCATAAACAATAATATATCAAAAGTAAAAACAATGATGCATCCAGTTCATTTATTTTTAACTAATATTTTTACGAAGGGATATAAGTAATATATATATATATATGTGTGTGTGTGTGTATGTATGTGTGTGTGCGTGTGTGGGCGTGTGTGTGTTAGTGTATGCATGCATGTATATATGCATTTATGTACATATGCTTGCAGCTTATTTGTCGAGGTGCTGCAAATTTAAATTAATTTACACCAAGTGCTCTTCTCCTCGATTCTCAAAAATGCAAGTAGGCTGTGCTGAATTTCAACAAGGCAGGAAATGTTAGCTCCAACGGCCGGTGGAGGAGCAGCGTGCGGCGGTGGAGCAGTCGAAGGTGGAGCGGCTAAGTATATAAGTAGAAATGTATGTAGATGTATGTGTGTATGTAGGTGTATGTATGTATGTTTGTATGTATGTATGTATGTGTGTATGCATGTATGCATGTATGTTTGTAAGTTTGTATGTATGTATATATGTATGTATGTAAGAATGGATGCATGCATGCATACATGTATGAATGCAGGCATGTATGCATGTATGAATGCATGTATGAATGCATGCATGTATGCAAGCATGTATGCATGCATGTATGCATGTATGAATGCATGCATGTATACATGTACACATATGTGCTTCCCCGACATGTACGCATGCCTGCATGTTTGCATATATGCAAACCAAACATGCATAGATATTATATGTACAAAAAGAAACTAAATTTATCAACCAAATCATTCACTATATCTAATAGACCTCATAAACGAAAGGGTATAGATAGTTTTCATAGAACACAAACAAGTAAAAGCTTTTTGAGTATCATAACAAACCTTGGAACAATTTCCAATACTAGCGTTGGCTTCGCCGTGCAGCAGCACGAAAGCTTTTACGTGGGAGCCGTAAATGAAGACCCACCCTCGAAGCTTCATTGCCAATTGGATGACGAAACAGTTCGCTACCGCCAGCAGCTAAAGTTGAGAGCCAACGGAAAAATCCATAAATTGATTGAAGAAGCAGAAGAAGCTTGGAAAAAACTCCGGAAAATGCTGCTGCCCAAGGTCAAAACAGGTGGCATCTGGAGCTGTCGCCAGCTCTGGGATTTGTTAATGTCACCAATATCACCTCGCAACTTGCGCACCACAGCTCTGCTGACTAGCATCTACCAGATGGTAAGTCCATATCACCACCACCTTCCACTCTTATGCATGCAGCTGCAGTCTGATAGATCAATAAATGGGGGCGCAGCGCACGGACCACCGACACGCAGACAAATCCGCAATTCGGTTGTCACCAAAGTGCAGCCGCCTGCCCCTAAATACAAAAATTACGCACTGGATATGCAAAGCCATACCCCACTGAGCACGCCAGAACCCATCAAAGGCGGCAATGTAGCGCACGCCCCCACCCACGAAGAGCGTATGGATGAGCCAACGGCGCAATGCGTCTGCAATCAAGCTCCTAACATTGGAACGTGCTAAGACGAGCGCCCTTTTTAATTGAGACCTGACACGAGACGCATATTCATCTGCACAGTGCTAAAACCGGTTGTGAATTATTGGCGCAACTGCTGAAATATGTGTCCAGAGAAATTTGACAGCCCTGCAAGATCAGCAGAGTTTTATTTGAGCATATTCAAAGAGGAATTCAAATATTTCTATACTCTATTATTTTCCTATTTTCCGCAGCTCATTGCTCATGCTATACTTTTCATGGTGATGCTCTGTCTATCGCATGCGGAGCAAATGCGTCATCTGCTCGATTTGGATATTCTGGATCAGAAGGACAGCGGATTCTACAACATGTCACCATTTCACAATGATATGCGCCTCAAAACCGCGGCTCAACTGGCGGATGCTACCGAAAATGCACTCTATGTATTGGCAGGAATTACCATCGCTTATGCCCTGAGCACCGTATCCTTGTTCTTTGGCGTGTTCAAGAATAAACCTGGTCTAATTATACCCTGGCTGGTGTTCGAGTTTCTGGGTCTGATTGCCCTTGCCGTTTTTGTATTTATGCTAAAGGATACCAAATTGACCATGATATTTGGCGGGCAGGACTCCTATTGTGAGTATATCATGCACATTTTTGGAGGTTATGTTTAGAGTTAAGAACTGTTTGTTTATTTATTTTTTTTTAATTTAGTTATCATCTGTTATACGCTGATCTGCATAGATGGCATCAAGTGGTATGTAATGCACAGCTTCTATCAAAGTCTACGCACAATGAACAAATTGCGAGAGATTGCAACAGTTGCTATACCCTGCCCTGCCCCGGGCGCTGTAAGTATTAACGCTCAACCCAGATTATAATATATGAAACTTATTCCAAGCAGCTTTCTTCGCAGGTACCCTATCAGTTCCGCAAGGAGCACATGTATTTGGGCAGCAACGGCTACAAACATATTCTGACTGAGTCCCCGGATGGCCAGGGTTAAATACGGCAGTCACTATAAAACGCTTCGACGAATTCATCATACCCTCCCAATCCCCAACGTCATCGAACTTCCAGCATCAAGTGTCTTAAAATTTGTTTCCAATTTCTTTTATTTTTCATTAGTTTAATCAGCGTTATTGGAACGTGTGTGATATGGATAAAGAGGAACTGAGAGATAACTATTTTAGATAGATGCAGCGCAAAAAGGGTTATGCACACAGATACACTATATTCTTATGGCAATATATACACAACACATATACATAACCCGACCCGACCCCTAGCAATTTATTATAGTATGCTAGATACTCATTAACTATTTTCAATGTAGAGCGCTTACAATTAAATATTTGATCTAAATGTTTAGTAGCTGTAGACAATTTAACTTTATTTAAATAAACATAAAAATATTCATGTGTTAAATGGGATTCGAACCTAGTGTCTAGTGCGTTACAATACCAACTGTTATGCGCTGCGCTACAGCTCGAGCGTTTCGCGGCGTACCAAATGCTTATATGTATGATATACGGTATAATAGCTGCCCTTGCTTATGTAGCCGTCTCTTTCACTCACATTGCTGTGTTAACAAGGGCATTTCCCATTGGCCAATTGTTTTAGACCGTTTAATTTGAACATTAATTTCTGCTTGAGTTAAAGTTATAAAGCATTTTGGTTAAAGCAATTTTATTTAAAAAAATGTTCGAATGGCCTTTTTTTGTGGCATAAATAACAAATATTAGAAAATATGTTTCATTTGGCTTGTTGCCTGTTAAATTGTTTACTTCTAATAACTATGCTAATACATGTACATATATTATTCTCTAGTTGCGGTGCAGGTTTTGTTTGTTTTCCTTGGGTTTTTTTTTTTATTGTTGCGGCCTTACAACATTTACCTTGACCCATTTTAACCCTTGCGGCCACGCCCAGATCGGCCTACTGGTGTTGTTGTAGGTGTGGGTGCCAGGGTGGAGCTGGGCGTGCCCAGCAAGGTCATGTCATTGCCCAAACTGTCCATCAACATGTCGGCCACGGTCACATTTGAGTTGCCAGCGCCGTCGCCCTTGTCCGTCGGAATGCTGATCTGGAACTGCAGCAGCACCACCAAATAGGTGACCATGGTGGTGATCAGGCCCTTGAACAGAGTGCGATTGACATCAAAGAAGCCGCCGCAATTGATGTTCGAGGGATTCATTTCGGTGGCGCGCAAAAACATATTAATCTCCGTCTGGGCGTCTGAGTTCATCCAATTGAGTTCGACCATCAAAAGTTTCTTTTGGAAATTTGTGCGCACATTAACCGAGGCATAGTGGGCCTCATCGCAAATATAGAAGAGCAATCCGATATTCCAGAGCGCCGTTATGGTCAATCCGATATCCTTAATGCCGAATCCTTCCGAGAGCTGTGACATGAGTCCATAAATCGACAGAGTGATGATAAAGAACAAATAGAGACTCATGAATACAAAGGTGTAGCACAGGGCATTGCCCATGTCCCGGGTCAGCTTGCTCAGACGCAGCCACAGGACACGATAGTCTGCCACCATGGCGGCGGGACCGATGTGCTTCAGTGCCTTCTGAAAACGCTCCGCCAGCAGATAGGCCGTGGTGCTGATTGCCTCGCAGATGAGAAACCACCAGCCGCCCAGCATGGCCGTCAGATTGTCCAGTATGCAGTAGGGCACCACCTGATTGAGATTGAAATCCGACATGGTTATGTGAATGATGACCACGGACAGCACCGAGAGTATGGGCAGCAGGATGGCAATGTAGATCGCCTTCTGGCGGAGATTAAGCGGCAAACTGTGACCTGAGATCTGATAGTAGAGCACCTCAAAGTCATCCCAGTCGTTGAACAAGAGCGCTATCTTCTTGGCCTCCAACCATAGTATGGGTATTATTATGATTGGCAGAATATTGACCAGAAATAGATACGCAATGACTGCCTCCTCGAAGGGTCCGCTGAGCGAGCGCACAATGTGGATTCGATTGTTGGCCACGTAGCCAACATAACACTGCATCAGTCGTATGATTAATCAGGAATTCCCTTTATGTCCCTAATGGAAAGGAAAACTCACCGCTAGAAAAACGAAGAAAACAACCGAATAGACGAAAGGCGCCGAATTTAAAGCAAATTTGGCGCGGGAGGGACCGCGCCGCACAATGGGCAGAACCCCGATGATCCGTAGGAACCAATTAACCGGCGCAATGCTGCGATAAAAAACGCTCTGGCAGAACAAACTCCAATTAATTACAATTAAACTCATTTGATTTGTTGCTTACCGGGGTAAAGTCGGGATTATTGGAGCCCACCGTGCTTATGGAACCGCGTTTCTTATCATTTGCCGGCGGTATATAGTCGTTGTCCAAACGTTCAGCCAATCCAATAGAATACTTCCGGACTCCTTGAAGATAGGCCTGCGCATTGCCGCTGTTTATGGGCTTGGCATTCAGGAATACCGTGTCTGCCTTTTTGCGTCTATAATAGCTGGCCATTGTACTTGAACTGTGAGTATTTTTTACACCTTACTAACTGCCTTGGCACAGACATGGCCATTAAAAATGCATTTAACCTCGCCCTCTATTTGTTTCTTTGTGTTTGCATTGCAAGAACAACTTGAGTTTCCTGTTGATTTCGTTTGTTTGTCTTCTGCATGCATTAACCTTAACCATGTGTCCCAATTTCAAATTTCCATGAATGGCGCGCAACTGCTTGAACTTTCGCAATATTGCTGTTTGCCAACACTGTGAAATCTATCGCAATCGACTGAGCTATCGATGAATTGACTCTCTAGAGCGAGCCAATTAAGTACGCTTATTTCATGAAATGGACGTCATTGTTCAAGTGTGATCTTCATATTTAAGCCAGCTTCATATTCAACTTTAAGAGAAGCATATCATAATTTTTTCACCGAAGAAGCTTTAGTTATTTAAGTCACTGATACAGTGTCAGGTATAAAAACCATCGATATTAAGCAGCTCAACCAAATATAAATTCGTTCATCGATAGATTGATTTTAGTGCATCACTAGCTACATTTCTAGAACTTGCAGAGAAAAGCCGAAAAAAAAACAATAAAATACAAAAATTCAATAAGCAATATGGTCGATTATAGCAAATGGAAAAATATTGAGGTGCGTAGCTTTAAAACAAACGTGAGAAATTAAATTAAGCATAATTTGAATTTCTCGCAGATTTCGGACGATGAGGACGAAACACACCCAAACATCGACACGCCTTCGCTGTTTCGCTGGCGACACCAGGCGCGCGTGGAGCGCATGGCCGAGTCCGAGAAGGAAAAGGAGGAGCTGAAGAAGAAACGACAGAGCTATCAGGCGCGACTGATAAATGTCAAGGAGCTTATCAGTAAAAAAGAGGGTGACGAAGTGGCACTGAAGGTAAATTTGTGCTGAACAACCTGTTATCAATATTTTATTAAATCTCGCATCCGTTAATTCTCTCTCTTTATATATATATATCACAGAAAGAACTGGAAAAAATTGAAAACGAGGGAAAGGAACTTGATCGCCAAGAAAACGAGCTGCTGAAGCGAGAGAAGAAGACACCGTGGAATGTCGACACAATAAGCAAACCTGGCTTCGAGAAAACAGTTATTAACAAAAAGCCACCACGCAAAGCGGCCGAGGATCTGACCGAAGAGGAGCGCGAGCAGCGCATGAAACAGTTCGTCAAGGAGAACGAGAAGCTGTGCAAACAGTATGGCATGCTGCGCAAGTACGACGACTCCAAGCGTTTCCTGCAGGAGCACTTGGATCTGGTATGCGAGGAGACGGCAAACTATTTGGTTATCTGGTCAATCAATTTGGAAATGGAGGAGAAACACGATCTGATGGCACATGTGGCGCATCAGTGCATCTGCATGCAGTACATTCTGGAGCTGGCCAAGCAATTGGATGTGGATCCGCGCGCCTGTGTTAGCTCGTTCTTCTCCAAAATTCAACAATGTGTGCCTGAGTATCGTCAGCAATTCGAGAGCGAAATTGAGGGCTTCAAGGAACGCATCCAGAAGAGAGCACAGGAAAAGTTACAGGAGGCCATGGCACAGCTGGAAGAAGAGGAGAAACAGGAGCGTATGGGACCCGGCGGTCTGGATCCCGCTGACGTTTTTGAATCCCTGCCCGAGGTGAGTTTAATTACGACTCAAATAAAAATGCATACTATATGATAGCTTTCTTGCCTCGAACAGGAACTTAAAGCTTGCTTTGAATCGCGTGACATTGAGCTATTGCAGAAGACTATAGCGACCATGCCGGTGGATCAGGCCAAGTATCACATGAAACGTTGCGTCGACTCTGGCCTGTGGGTGCCAAATGCCGCCGATGTGCAACTGGGCAATGATGAAACGGAGGCCAAAGATGATGAGACCACGACGGCGACAAATGAAACCCCAACGGAGAAGGAGAATTCCAAATCGCAAAACGAAAAAAGTGCCGACGCTGCCAAGGAGGAGCCCCTATATGCTGGCGTTAGCACCGACGACGTTGACTGATCCTTCAGCGCTGTTATTGCATGTTACACTATAAGTTTAATCTTAATAACCCGCCCATTTGTTCAACAAAATCAGTTGGTGTGTAGTTTGATAGAAAACCAACTAAATTTTCAGTAAACTGGGCTTGAGCTTTCAATCAAATTCAAGCTGTCTCCGTGAATATATACTCCCGATAATTAAAAATACGTTTATCAAGTTTCTATATATATATATATATTTAACTATCGCCATGAACCGCCCCGAGCTGGACTACTATGCTGTGCTGGACATGCCGCGCAATGCCAGCAAGGAGCAAATCACGTTGGCATACCGCCGCATGGCAGTTCGTTTGTGTCCGCATCGGGACAAGAAATACGAGATGGACTTTGTGCCGCTGGCGCAGGAGGGCAGGCTGACGCACTTGTCGCCCATGAGCGAGACCAAACAATGGGCCTATATCAATATGGCATTCGATGTGCTGGGCCACGATCTATACCGTGCCATCTATGATCGCTATGGTGAAGCGGGCCTATTCGAGGGCGTGATGCTGCCCAATGGCTATTTTCCGCCCTATCAATATCATGGCGATCACATGAAGGTTTACGAGCAGGTCTTTGCCAGCTACTCGCCGTTTGCCAATGTCATAGACGCCATTACAAATCCGCCCAGCTTGTATGCCACCAGGGAGCACGGCATTGGCGTGCGCCACAAGGATGCCAATACGGAGCGCATTATACATTTGTCCTTGGAGGAGGTGCGCACTGGCTGCGTAAAGCTAATGCATGTTTGGCGCCAAGAGATTGTCGATAAGAAGGAATCGCGTCTGGAGAAGCGCAAGCACACGCTCAAGCTAATCATACGACCGGGAACCACAGCCGGCACGCGCTTCTGCTTCAAGGAGGAGGGTGATCGGTATCCCACAACCATACCCGGCGATATTATATTCATTGTCGCCGACAAGCCGCATCCGACATTCGAGCGGCGCAATATGCACGACCTGGTCTATCGCTATGACATCAATCTGGCCCAGGCTTATACGGGTTTCACATTCTTCGTTGATACCCTGGACAAGCGTCAGCTGAAGATTGTCATATCGGATGTGGTTACTCCGGGCTACCAGAAGATCATGCCACTCGAGGGATTGCCCAAGTGCCAAAATTTGGATGCGGTGAAGGCAATTAAGCAAGCCAATAAGAGAATTGAAGACTTTGGTGATCTAATAATTGAGTTTAATTGTAAAAAAAATTGTTAAGAACAAACAATAGCGCGAAAAGTAATTACGATTTATTTACAGACTTATTCCCAAAATATCTGACACCAGAGATGAAGACATTGACCCGTAATTTCTACAAGGAGTTCCGTAGGATGGAACAGGCGCTGGAAGATGAGGAGAAGCTGCATATGAAGTGATTAATTGTATTTTATTTGATTTAAATTGTGCAAATAGAAATTAACTGTGATTTGAAAACCGCTCTAATTTGGCATGCAGCAGCATACTGGGCGTAAGGTATCGATAGTTTTGTATGGTATCGATAAATCGATAGAGTGTTCAATTTTTACGAACAAGTAAAACATAGCATAATTAAAAAACAGCAAGAAAAACAACAAAGAATAATAATTTGTGCTAAAACGAAAAACACATAAAAAAAACTAATTATATCAGAGTGTTAAATTTCGACGTAAGCTCGTAGAAAAAAACACTAGAAGTGCAGCTAAAAACCAAACTGATTTTTGGCCTACATAATTTAATTACTGACACCTGTGCAGTACGCCCCCCTCCAAGCCAGCCCAGGGCCAAAGCAACGGAAATACCAGCGATACGCTTCAGTGCAAGTGGAGGCCAGCTAGCTGACCACACCCACATCCAAAGCAGAGGTAAAAATGCACCTGAGCGCCGATATTTCCAGTGCCTTGCAGCAAATCGAAGCTGTGAAAAAGGGCATCGACGAGTCCGAGGATGTGAAGCTGCAATTGCAAACGGCGGACAGTTTAAATACTATACTGGGCATACTGACAGATCCGGTTTTCCGTACCATTGCCCATGTGCAGGAGTCGCTGTACGAGCTGGGCATACAGCTGGGCCAGCATCCGTCCATGTTGCCCAACGACTTTGACATCGATGTCAGCGGGAATCTGGTGCTTAGCCTGAATGGCGGCGATGTTATGTACGATTCGTCGGCGCCAGCTAGTCCGGACAAGTCCAGCTCAACGGGCGAGGTGGAGGCGCGTCCACAGAGCCAAAACTCCAAGTCGGCCGCTGCCGATTTATATGCCACGGACTATGCCCAAATCCAGGCCATTGAGCTGGTTAACGATGGCACTGGCCTGGGCTTCGGCATAATTGGGGCACGCAACTCGGGTGTCATTGTGAAGACCATCTTGCCAGGTGGCGTGGCAGATCGTGATGGACGCCTGCGTTCCGGGGATCACATTCTACAAATTGGCGATGTCAATCTGCACGAGATGGTGTCCGAGCAGGTGGCCGCAGTGCTGCGGCAATCGGGCACACATGTCCGTCTCGTGGTGGTGCGTCCCATTGAGCAGAACCTGCCCACGCCACAATATGCCTTAGAGCCGGGCAGCGCTGTGGTGCCCACGCGCGTGCTCGTCGATCCTGCCGAGCTGGAGCGCTATCTCATCTCGACCGGCTATCCGGAGATCTTTGGCGAGAGCTCGACGGCCTCCACGCCGCAGACGACCACGGAGGATGAACGCTTTGTGTATCGCGGCGAGACCTCAATGCTCATTGATCCCAGCATTGATCTGGACGAGCTGCTGGCCCTGCCCGAAACGGAGAAGCTACAGGTGGAACTGAAGAAAGATGCCAACGGCTTGGGCATCACCATTGCCGGTTACGTGTGCGAAAAGGAGGAGCTCTCGGGCATCTTCGTGAAGAGCGTCTCACCGGGCTCAGCGGCGGATCTGAGCGGACGCATACGCGTCAACGATCGCATCATCGAGGTTGATGGCCAATCGCTGCAGGGCTATTCCAATCACCAGGCTGTCGAGCTGCTAAAGAAGTCCGGCCAGGTGGTCAATCTGCGCCTCGAGCGCTATTTGCGCGGTCCAAAATATGAACAGCTGCAGCAGGCCATCGCCGCCAATGCCAATGAAAAGCTGCCCGCCAGTGCACCTGGCACACCCTCGCGCGCGCCCTTGCCAACGCCTTCGTCCACTGCCACAGCTGCCGCCAGCATCTCGTCTGCAACAGCGACCTCCAGGGAGCTGGAGGATGAGACACTGCCCGCGCCAGACGCCTTCATGATGACCACGCCGCCCTCCAGCTCGCTGGCCACCACCACAACGCTGAGCAGCTTTGGCGCCGGCAAGCAATTGGTGGCAGTGCGAGATTCACTCGAAGGCGCGCCCAAGATTATACCCACGGATGTGGTCCAGCTGGCCGATAAGCAAGAGGTAAGCATCGCATAAATTTGATATATTCCTGGTGCTCACATTTTCTGTTTGCAGGCGGCTGTGCATGCCAAAAACTCTAGTCTTATCACGCGCCACAAATACCACATGGATGCGGAGCTCAGCGAGGAGATCGAGGCGGAGATTGTGCGCAAGTGGCAAAAGATTGTGGGCTCCGACATGGAGGTGATTGTGGCGCAGATCAAAAAGTTTGCCGTCGGCGGCCTGGGCATCTCGCTGGAGGGCACCGTCGATGTGGAGGGCGGACGCGAGGTGCGTCCACATCATTATATACGCTCCATACTGCCCGACGGCCCGGTTGGTGTCAACGGCGTGTTGCGCTCGGGCGATGAGCTGCTGGAGGTTAACGGCGAGCGATTGCTAGGCATGAATCATTTGGAAGTCGTGGCCATATTGAAGGAGTTGCCATTGGACGTGCGCATGGTGTGCGGACGCAGCAAGGGCACCACGCTGCTGCCCTTCTCGGATGACACCTTAAAGAAACTGAGCAACAATTTTGAGAACCTGCTGCCGGCCACGGATCGTCTGGTGAAGGCCAAGTCCGACGGCAGCCTGGCCACAGCTGGCTCAGTGGCCGATTCGGACAACGTGGCCGTGGCGGCCTCGTCGTTCAACAAGCTGAAATCTCGCTCACTGGAGCCGCTCACCGGCCTGGCCATGTGGTCGTCGCAGCCGCAAATAATTGAGCTGCTGAAGGGCGATCGCGGTTTGGGCTTTTCCATACTGGACTATCAGGATCCCTTGGACTCGAACGATACGCTGATTGTCATACGCTCGCTGGTGCCTGGCGGCGTGGCTCAGCTGGATGGCAGGCTGATACCGGGCGATCGGCTGCTGTTTGTGAACTCCATTAATTTGGAGAACGCTTCGCTGGATCAGGCCGTGCAGGCCTTGAAGGGCGCACCCAAAGGCGTGGTGCGCATCGGTGTGGCCAAGCCGCTGCCAATGACCGATAACTCGCTGAAGGCGTGCAGCAATACCAGCACCACCAGCGAGGAGACACTCGATGCCCAGCAATCACCGCCAGCGCTGCCCACAGCGGCGCCTCCAACAGCAGCCAAGGGTGCAGAGCCGGATCTGATACCCGACTGGCGCAAATAGACGCTGCATCATTATGCTGTTATTATATTTATATAGGAATTGGGCGCAAGTGCACCAATAACCAAGTATGTTATGCACCAATTGTGTTGACCAGAGCCGCTGCAATGAGCGCGGCTCGGCTTGTCCCTGATCCGGGACAGCTGCATTCCCGATATTCGCAATATATTCCATTCCCCCGAGTATTAGTTTAAGTGTGTGTGAATTTAATGTACTTAAAGCTAAATAAATTATGCAAATCGTTTACAATAGTTTAATATATATATATATATGTATGTACACAATGATGCGTTGAGTATCCTTGGCATGGCTGCTGCTCAGCGGCTACTGCACCCGGTTCAGCTGACGCTCGATGCGCATATAGTTGCGCCTGGAGAGTATACGATCCCGGGCATAGCTCACCAAATAGCTGAGCACGCCCAGGACAAATGCTATCGCCTCGAATTTGATGAAATTCCGCTGCTCGATGAGCGCCACTCGGTCGCAGCTCTTGGTCACAATCTCGCCGCTTTTGCAGCGCAGCACCTCCTTGTAATGTGTATGGATGCAGACGCCCAGACTGCGGCTGACTATGTCGAACTCGGAGCAGGGATGACACTCCTGGACCACGGTGTAGCTCTCGTGTCTCCAGCAGGTCGAGTTGTTCTCTATGACGAACTGTTGGCCGCGACGACGCGCTAGGCTGCCCTCCGCAGCATAACGGGATTCGATAATAAGCACTAGGATCGTCACCAGGGTGAGGGCAGTCAGGCCCAGGACCATGTGATGCCTCTGGCAGTTTTCGAGCATTTTACTTTTGCTTATAAGTGCAAAACAAAAAAAGAAACTAAAATGAAAGTCGAATTTGTTTTTGCTTTCACAGCTGTTGAGTCCAGGGCTGCAGGCAATTACTCATTAAGTTTACACGATACCAATAAGTATAAGTATGCTGAAAGTTGCTTTGCATATGTGTGTTGGCCTCAGTAAATACATAAACAATTAGGTTTAGGAAAAAAGCAGAGAACTACAAGTTATTCATACAATTTAATTTATAATTATCAACAATAATGAATATTACAAGCATTGTGAGTTGTCAAAAAGGTATCGTTACGTTCGTTGATTCATTACAGCAAGCATCGATGCCCGACTATCGATATTCATCGATAGAACAGGCTGTTTACGAAAAAGTAAAACATGCAAATGGCAAGGAAGGGACAGAGACCAAAACAATTACGAAGATAGCCTTAAAGAGAAACGTGGAAAATTTATGAAAAACTGTGAAAATTGTGTGGTGGCGCATAGAAAATGGTGCTGCGGTCGGGAATTATAATTCCATTTCAATTTCGCGATACTAAGAAGCTGCTCATGATTGGTGTGCCCGAGGAAAATCGAAATCTGAACATATGGGACTTGAAGAATGTTGGTAAGCCTTGTTAACGGACGAAGTGCTAGTGCGGGTGCTGCTTGTCAGTGCCAGCGGGCAGGGGGCAGGGGCAACAGCGCGCACGCTGCCGTTACTGGCCGCCCCCAGGCCCAGGGCAGGTCGTTAAACTTAATTGCCTTCGAAAATGTGTGTACCGAGAGCACGAGAACACCCAACTGTATAAAGGCTGCAAAGCAGCATAGCAAATACATAAATTTGTGAATTGGACATTGGAATTGAGCGATTTTCTCGGTTCTGTTTCTATTTCTGCTTCATTTCGTTTGCAGTGCGCGCCGCATTTGGCATCTACAATTTCGAGTTTCGCAATAAAAAAATCGGCTTCAACATACCCGATGAGCTGCTGCTGCATTATTTGGCCCAACGTCACGACCTCACAAATTTCGTTATAGAAATCAGCCAAGGTAATTGCATTAGCCATATAAGTTAGCCGCGTTACACACTAGCGTTTAAGCCCTTAACAACCTGGAGCCATTACATATATACATATGTATATATCAAAAGAACTACAATATATATGAATGCCATGTGCGTTTATTGATCTGTGTGTATATAGATGCGGCAGCCGCAATACGTGCTTTGCTTGTAAGTCTCTCACAATTGCATTGTAATAAAAATCCCCATTGAAAATGCTTCCTTTTGCAGCCCTAGACGATGGCCATGCCAAGGAGCTGCTCTCTTATGAGCCTTCCTGCTCAATGGCTGCGTTGAAGCAGCAGCAGCAGCAGCAACAACAGCAGCAGCAACACCATCATCCGCATCCGCTACAGCACCATGTGCCACTGCCGCAGCGCTCTAATGAGAGCGGCAGTCACGCCCACGATTATGTGGGTGGTGGAGCAACGGCCTTGCCCGGATCACAGCCGAATTCGCCAGCGCTGCGCGTTTGCAATGAACCTGTGGACTCGCCGTTGGAGCATGCCAATAACTCGAATTCGGAGCATGCAGATGCTGGACAAAAAATGCGGCTTACACAGACATATGCGGAACGCACGCCCGAATCGCTAACACAATCCATAGATCCCATGGACATAATACCCAAAGCAGAGTCCGAATCCGAGGCGGAGCGTGTAGCGCGTGCGGCCCGCTATCAGGCACGGGTGCAGCAGCAGCAACAGGAGCAACAGCAACACCAACAACAACAGCAGCAACAACAACAGGCACAAGCCTTGCAGCACGCGCTGCCTGCTCAGCAATTCTTTTCAAACTACACGCACAGTCTGCCGACTATGACGCCACCAAACACTTCGCAACAGTCGCCCTACACGCCCGGACTGATGAGTCGCTTTAGAAGTGAGTAGTACCCGCGAAGATGGGAGAGCATTTCGTAAGATTTATTAATTGATCTTGCTTGCAGAACGCGGTGAGCGCATGTCCAAGGATCAAAAGGAGCTGTACGTCAAGTTCTTTGAGGACAATCCCTGCATGCTGTCGAACCATCGCCGCCACGATGGCCTCACCGAGCCACTGTGGGCCAAGCTGGCGCACATGCTCAATAGTGTGCCGCAGGGCGCTGTCAAGAACGTGGAGGATTGGAAGCAAACATTTGATGCCTGGCGCTATCGCATTTTCATGTACACACGCTACAACTCCAAACTGAGCATGTCGGAGACGAGCGATCCCAAGAACTTTAAGCCGCTGACCGCAACTGATCAGAAGGCGTACGCCATGTGGACCAGTCACAAGCACATTGCACCGCCGGACTACGACAAAATGGATATGTTTGTGCCACTGGACGAGAGCACCACGGCAACGAACAGTTACGACTACTAAGGCCAAGTCCAAGCCCAAACCCCAGTGCAAATGTTAATTGATAATCAGAACGAAGATGACGTGTACTTTAACTAATGCTAAGCGCTAAATACATTATGTTTAAGCAACATATATGAAACACAAACCTTTTTTTTTTGATTAAGCAACTAGATTTAAGTATCATTTTTGTGTGTAATTCTTGCAACTAACTCGCCTCTTTTTGTTTTCAGTGTACGATGCCGCCTTGGAAAACTATGTGCTGCATCCGCAGTGCCGCTGTGGCGCCCAAAAGCTGCTCAACGATTCGCCCACACCGGAGGAGCCCACGAATTTGTGCCAGAGCAGCAGTGTCGTGGATGCAGCGCCCTCGGCCTCAACGCTGGCGCTGCCCAGTTGCGACGATGATGAGCAGGAGAGCATGAAATACCGCATCGATAAGGCTAGCAGCGGCGCTGCGTCTGCGGAGCTCGGCATGCCCGCCTATGATCCGTGTACGCCCAAAATGGACTATGATACGCAGGACGAGCTACCGGATTCTCCGCACTCGCAGCACCAACAGCAGCAGCTCCAGCAGCAGGTACCAACGGCGCCCTTGCCCTTGCCGCCGCCACCCACACATATTCCGCATCATCATCAGCACGAGGAGGAGCAGCAGCAGCTGCTGCAGGAGCGTATACAGCACGAGTTTATGCTGCAGCAGCAACATCAGCATCAGCATTTGCAGCAACAACAGCATCTGGCGTTGCTGCAGCAGCAGGAGCAGCAGCAGCAACAACAGCAGCAACAACAACAACAGCAGCAGCAGCAACAACAACAGCAACAAGGTGTCAGCATGGCCATAGGAACAACGGGCACAAACAACATTCGACGTGAGTTGAACAACAGATATGCAGAAAAGTATGCTATATTGGGAAATCAATCAAAGTCGCAAAGAAAACGAATCATTTGAGCTCTGTAACTGTAGATGCGTAAGAATGTTGTCCGCCCTCAAATCAGAGAATATAAAAGCCAGAGATTTCCCCGTCCAATAGAAATCCATAGTCAGAGCTGGGGATACCAAATTTAATTTGTATGACCCATAGCTACAAGTCGTGCATGTTTTTGGCAGCATTCGACAAAGTATTAATATTAATCAATCTTGCTCTTTACAGAACGTAAGGAGCGCATGTCGAAAAGGCAAAAGGAGCTGTACGTACACTTTCTGCAGCAGCATCAGTTCATTAACGACCATAGACGGAATGATCCGGTGCTGGATCCCTACTGGCTGAAGCTGGCCAATCTGTTGAATGCTGTGCCGCAGGGCGCCGTCAAGCATGTGACCGAATGGAAGCAGACGTTTGACAATTGGCGGTATCGCATCTTTTTGTATGCGCGCTACAACTCGAAGCTGCAGGATGAGGAGGCGCAGAATCCGCGCAACTTTAAGCCGCTGACACGCACCGACAAACAGGCATACATAATGTGGATACGCAATCCGGACACTGCGCCGCCGGATCTGGATAAAATGCGCAACGTGTTCTGCAATCTGGAGGAGAATACAACGCATCAGGACTAAAAGCCGGCCGGTCTTAACCGGGCCGGCTGAAACTGAAAGCGCTCTCGCTAATTGCCATTGTTCTAGTTCATAAGAGATGGTTTTCTATACGACATACATTTTATTGTTTTCATGTTAACGCTGTGTATTTTATAGCTGGAAATGCATTTTTCCTTTCTTTTTCTTTTTGTTATGCTAATATATATATATATTAATTGAACGGTTTTTAACTTAACATGCAAAAGCTTCAAGTGTGCAGAACTTAAGAGACAAGTTTTTATGAAAGAACTCGAGAGCTCTTACTTTCGCAAGGCTTCTAAGCTTTGGGCAATATGTTGATTATTTGAGAGCATGTTTGTAATAGGTTTCATATATAGTTTCGTTATATTTTTCCGGAAAGCGAGTTGTTGCTGAAAAACATGAACTGTGCAAATATTTCGTAAATCTGTCATATTAGGCTAGTTTATTTAATCTTTAATAACTCGAAGATACTTTTGCTTTTACTTTTGCTTAAGCTTAAAGTCTCGCAAATCTTGACAGTCAGGAATGGAATGTTCAAGATCATACAAAGAATCAGTTCTGGCTTGAGTTAACTTTCAAACTCCTTTCGAGAATTGGCTGAAGCCGGTTATGCAGGGTGTCCCTTCGTTAAGGCACCTTGAACTTTAATGGAGTTTTGTTTTCGTTCTGGCTGCACTTGTTGGCCTGCACTGCGCTGTGTCTAGAATTTAAAGTTGACAAACTCCTTTCGATATTGCAGCATTGTTGATTGTGTAAAACATATTGTACTGTGTACTTCCCTATCTGAGATATACAAATCAAGATCTCTAGACACCTACGTCTCTCTCTCTACGTAGACTTCTTATGCGTTGATTAATTTGCTGCCTGCGGGCGTACAGCATCCAATCTGTGGGTACTTGTCGCACATGCTTGGATTTGCTGCTCCGGCTGCTGCTGTTGCTGCTGTTCGAAACTAATCCGGCGATCATTAATTAACAGTTCAATCAAATCCGATACGCTCAATGCCTGTCGACTGACGACTTTTTGGGCGCTACACAGAACATTCTCGGCTTATCCGACACTTACAAACATATCAACTTATGCGCTTAAATAACTTAAAACTTCATCTTTTCTAAACGAGCCGGTTGGCTTTTTGTCAGCATTATAATTTATTTATTATTATTGCAAGTTTTTTTCTTCATTCTATAAAAATATAACTGCAAGAAATTGCATTTAATTGTGCAAAGTGCAACAATATAATATAAATCGTGTTTGGAAATAACAGAAATTTTATATATATTATATGCCACATA